CAAAAGACACTGTTAAGAAAATGAAAAGGCAAATCTCAAACTGAGAGAAAATAGTTGCAAAACATATATCTAACAAAAGATCTGTATCGGTAATTTATAAAAATTCTCTTATAACTCCATAATAAAGCAATCCAATCAAAAATAGTCGAAATATTTGAATAGACACTTCACCAAAGAAGACACATAGAAGGCAAATAAACATCTGAGAAGATAATCAAAGGGGAATTCAAATTAAAATCATGAGAAATAACTATACACCCAACATAATGTCTAAAATTAATAAAGATTGACCATACAAAATTTTACCAAAGATGTGAGGTAACTACAACTGGTATAGACCACTGATAGAAACATGAAATGTTACAACAACTTTGGAAAATAGTTTGGTAGTTTTAAAAAGTATTAGACAGGCACAGATCATGTGACCTAGCGGTTCCAACCCTAGATATTGGCCCCAAAGAAATGAAAATATACACCCACACAAAGACTTGTGCATGAATGTCCATGATAGCTGTATTTGTAACAGCCAAAAACTGGAGACAACTAAAATGTATCTCAATGGGTGAATGGATAAACCAATCATGGTACATCCATATAATAGATTTCTACTCAGTAAATAGGGGAATAAACTATTGACACACAAACAACAGGAGTGAGTCTCCTTTTCTTGAATTATTTATTCATTTTACCCCTTTACTTATTTTACTTATTCCTTTATCTCTAAACCCACTCCCATTACGCCCTCCTAAATTGGCACTCTTCTAGTATTTAATATATGCCTTTTAATATGTAATGTACACATGTATGCATGCGTATATGTGTATATATATGCTTTAACGTATATTTCAATGGCATTGTGCTATAGCTCTTATTTTCCCCTTTCTGCTGTATTTTAAGGACTTATCCTAGCTCTATACACATCCAATAAGTTGCTTCTAACTGATATATTCCATACTATGTGTTTATCAAAGTTACCTCATTGACTCCCTTAGAGATGGGTACCTGTGTAACCAACTTCCTGCTACCGCAAACAATAATGAAATAAATATCTTAAATCTTGTCTCCTTGTGGACCTACAAAGAAAGTTCTCTGGGACATAGGTATGAAGGTGGGATTGCTGGGCCATAGGCCAAATAATTAATATTACTAACTCAGTGCTTCAAGACTGCTTTCCAAAATGGCTGAATCAGTTTATACTTCTACTGGCATTTGGAATTAACAATCTTATGAATTCTTAGCAATATATCTCATTTTAATTTTCATTTCTCAGCTATTAGTAAGTTTGAGCATCGCTTTCTATTCTTATTAGCTACTCAGCTTTTCTCTTTGTAGATCACATTCTTATTCTTTGCTCATTTTTATATTGAGTTTCCTGTCTTTCATTTGTTGATTTGTAGTTCCCGGGAATGTTTCTATAGTAATGTCATGAATTTTATGCTTTGCTAAAAGCTCTTCTAGTCTGTTACTCTCTATTAGCTTTAAGGTGTTGTTCACTGACTAGAAAATTCTTCATTTTAATGTAGCCATAGCCATCATTTCTCAACCTGATTAAGACATTATTTGGGGGTTATGTTTAAGGGGTACAGCCCCTTACCTACATTTTGTTCTATTAGCTTTGCAGTCATCTTTTAATCTCTCTTTAATCTACCTGGAGTCCAACTTGTTCTATGGTGCAATGTAGGAATTTGGTTTTTTCTCTATTATGAGCCAGTGTTGCAATACCACCTGCTAAAGAGTTGATCTTTTCTCCATTATATAAAATGAAGGGATGCATCTCTACCATATACCACACTTTTTTTTGGTAAAAAGAATGCTCTTGGAAGGGTGATGACCCAGATGAGATGGGCAAGAAAAATATCCCTGGCCATCCATCTTCAGGAGGGCAATGGTGACTGCTCACTATGGATTCAGCCTTCTGAAGCCACATGCAAGCAGGAAACCTTGAACTCACCCAGGGGCTCTAAAGGGATTTTTAAAAAACAAGAATAAAGAAAGAAATAGTCTTATTAGGTCAAGTGCTTCAGATATTTCCTGTGAATTCCTGCAATTCCTTCCATGTTTAGTAGCAAAACAACGTGTTTCCGTGTCATGTTACATACATAAAATGCTTTTAGTGTCATAACTACCCTACATATTGCATCACACTGAGCTGTTTAGAAGGTGAGCAGACCTGTTATCCACAAAGCTTTCCAATTTTCCCAAAGCTTTTGGAAATTCATGTAATGATTTAGGGTGCTTGACATGATATAGTATTTAACTGGTACATTTTTTGTAAGCAAGGAAAAATCTTGTCCCAAACGGGTCTGATTTATGGCTTACTTCAGTATTCTATACATAGTAAGTCCTCAAAACAATGTCCTTGGCTGATTACCTGGCTGAGTGCCCACATATTCCCTGGGTTGGAATTTACAAGCAGAAGGAAATCTTCCTTCGTGAAAGTCACGATCTATTTGCATTTGCCTTTCGTTAGGAGGAAAAAGCACCAGAGACTTCAAGGACTATTATAGTGTATAAAACTTAACTCCATGCAATTATTCATGGAGCCCCTCCCGGGGCCATACAGCATTATTATATGCTTAAATAACTATTTCTGCCTTACCCTTGGATTTCAATAGAAACTATTTTGCACTCTTGTTATTCACTTACATTGCCCCATTGATTCTAAACAACAAGTAGAAAATGGAATCAAGCAAGCCAGTATTTCCCTTAGAAACTGGTGGCGGGTGGTATTACGAGCTGGAGTCCTAAGTAAGAGTTTAGTACTGGCTAGCACCAGTACTCAAACATTCCGTTTTCCATGCCTATAGATGTACTTGAAGTTAAAGAGCAGAAGATCAAATCCATCCATGTAACAAGATTTAACTGGTGCTCATTACACCCAGGGATTTCATGAGTGTCATGCTTAGACTTGGTTAATCTCTAAATCTACAGGATGGAGTTCAGAGTTTCTCTTTTTGTTTGGATCTAAAGAACTGTGACTTACTATTTCCAATTCACATAGCTGATAGGTTACATTATAACATTTCCTCTCTGCTGGAGGACGACCTTCCACGTGTTCCATTATGATGCACCAATAATGTTCTTCTGTTCCAAAACAGAATTTTTTTCTTACTTTCTAAAAGTAATTTAGATGAATGAATTTTGATAATGTCACATGAACTCCATCCTCCCACTCCTTTTATTTCTCCACAATAAAGAAACCCTGAGGACACTACAGATGGTGAAGGAGAGTTTCACGCAATGGCAGGTAACTGCAAGCTCTTGTGATTTCAACTCAGGAAAGAGACAGAAAGAGCGCACGTGTTCCCTGTGACCTAGGCTTTTTGGTTAATGTGAACCTAGCTGGGACGGCTGTATAAACGTCAACATGCTCTGAGGCTGGCAACACAAACATTAATACAAATGTTAAACAAGAAAGCAACTTTGGTTGTGTCCATGGGAAAAGATCTACAAATGTTCTCCACAACTTAAAGGTTTTTCTACTGACATTTGACCAGAACATGGGTATCATTAGGACAATGTTCCTTGCTCTCCCACCATTTTGAATATTTCCGATATCCTTATCAGTGACACTGAAAATTTTACTGATGTTTTGATACTCTAGACAAAATATCCAAGGTTAAAATGGGAAGTTATATGGGAAAAACTTAAGTAGGCTCTAAATGTCCTAATCATATGTAATTTTTATTAAATAACTTATAAAGTCTCCATATTGTATATCTAATGATTTAGTTCACTATATTCTATTATTTTTACTCATCAATCATGTATTTCCCATGTCATCAAAAAGCAAAGTTTATGTCTCTACCCGGCAGAAAACATTTTGAGGGAAACGTTCTACTAAACTATAAAATATTAGAGGGTTCCGATCAATTTTTCATAATCATTGCTAGTAACATGATAGAAACATTACCAATCCTGATAGCAGATTTTCAGAAATTAATTAAACCCATTAGAAGCAGTAGAAAACAGTCATTTATCCGTCACTACAGAAAGAAAGAAAAATGAATTAGACTTTATGTAACTAAAAGCACGTTCCTTTCAGAAAATATCCACATATGAATTTTGAAATCAATTTATGGCAGTAATAGGTTTCATTTGCTAAAGAAGAACAACTGAAAATGTAAATTAAGAATGGCATCGCAAATGGCAACTACAATCGAATCAAAGATGTACTTTATCAAAATAAGCAATCTACAGCAGAGTGCTCCTACAAGTGAACCCTGAATAAAACAATAATCTGGCTAAGGTAAGAATTCAGAATTACATTTGTAATTAATTTGTCATGCTCAGTCTGCTCTGTTCCTATTTCTGCTCTTCTCGTGCTGGTACAAAGACGAGCACGAAAGTGTGCACGTGATTACTTATTTAAGTCAAATACCTTATGCAATGGATGCACTTATGACCTGTATTAACATGTATCATCAGGATGTAAGGGAGTTTTGCGAAATGCTAATGTTCAATGTCTCCTTAAGCTTTATTTCATATTGATGTCTTATTTCTCATGTAAATGTACACTTTTCCTTATGAGAATCAAGTTTCTCTGTGCTTTAGTTCTTACAACTTTTCTATGAAATCAACCAGCTTGGTATTATTCCCATTTCACAGATGTGGGCCTAAGCCACCACCGCCAGGTGCTATATCCTACCCTCACAGGGCAGATTGTGGGGCAAAGACCATGATTTACCTTCAAACAGCTTTGTTTTCATGAATCAGAATCAAGTGGACAGGGCTTCCCTGGCGGCGCAGCGGTTAAGAATCCGCCTGCCAATGCAGGGGACACGGGTTCAAGCTCTGGTCCGAGAAGATCCCACATGCCGCGGAGCAACTAAGCCCGTGCGCCACAACTACTGAGCCTGCGCTCTAGAGCCCGCGAGCCACAACTACTGAGCCCGCGTGCTACAACTACTGAAGCCCTCACGCCTGGAGCCCGTGCTCCGCAACGAGAAGCACCGCAATGAGAAGCCCACGCACCGCAACGAAGAGCAGCCCCCGCTCGCCACACCTAGAGAAAGCCCGTGCACAGCAATGAAGACCCAACACAGCCAAAAAAAAGAATCAAGGGGACAGCCTTCTCCCCATCATATTCCCTCTACCTAGAATCTTCTTCATTTGGTAAAGCCTTACTCCCTTTCTAGGCTTAATTCAGAAACCAGCTCTTCTCTGAAACAGACTCCACTGAAATCGACTGAATGATTCCTGCCTCTGTTCCCCATAGCTTTTGTGAGAATACTGAGCACACCCTTTCATTGTTCACGGCACGCACATCTGTTTATTCCTGCACGAGTTAGTCTTTTTTTTTTTCTTTTTGTCTGCGCCGCACGGTTTGTGGGATCTTAGGTCCCCGAGCAGGGATCGAACCCGTGGCCCACTGCAGTGGCAGCGCAGAGTCTTAACCACTGGACCGCCAGGGAAGTCCCCAGGACTTAGTCATTTTTATATCTCTCTCGCAGAGCCTGGGAAAGGGTCTAGCATGAAGCAGCTGTTCAACAACCTTAGCAAAGTAAATTGTATGAGTGACCGCCACAGACAAGACAACAGGTAAGTAGAATCGTAACTATTCCTGCCCTTGAAGTAAATCCTGTCAGTGGGAGAGGAAAAGGCTTAAGAGTGAGACAGGAAGTTAATACATATATTAAAGAGTGATTTTTAAATGTAGATAAAGGAGGAAAAGGATTGGCCTAAATCCAACCACACCAGCACAGCTCAAGACACAAGTGAATGTAATTAGAGGCGTAAGGCGTTCATTCCTGCATAACCACGGGCTTCTTGTTTAATTACATAGTTTTCTTACATGCCCTCTTTAAGACAGGAAGAAAGGTGGGAACGATATTACGGATAATAGAGGCTCCTGCCAGAGAAAGAATTCCAGTGGATACTGGCAGTTCAGCTTTTCTCTTCAGAAAGAGTCTCCAAGACAGCCTGCCTTTTTATTACGTCTGGTGAAGGCGAAAACGGCTGTTAAAAATATCAGCGAGGAGATATTTATGGCGTCCCTACCTCATGCTAAATACTTGCGGAAAGTCTTCACAGATTATCAGATTCTCCTAATATGAGTTAGAGATCACGGTCCCCATCTTACAGGAAGAGGACTGAAGATCAGAACAATGAAATGAGCTGCTGAGACTGCAAACCTAGTGCCAGAGCTTTGATCCAACCAAATTCCGGGACTCTTCCTACGACACCCTACAACCTCCTCTTTCGGTGTTTGGAACACTGACACTCACCTACTGCATTGTGTGAACACGATTCCCGTTTAAAGACATCTGGTTTAGGCTATTTCACATCTGCTAAATTGTAACCTGAGGACTCCTTTCACATGAAGCTGGAGAATTTGTCTATACTCCTTGGGCATCTCATGGAAACCGCGCTTAGGTAACCTGTTGTCGTAGTAGTGATGGCTGACAGGTGTGTTCTCTCCAGTTTTAGAGAAAGGCCAGAATCCATAGAGTTTCACGTTCTCGCACAGTTCAACTGCCACACTTGTGATCATCAAGCCGGAGGACAGGCGATACTCGGTCACACCTTTAGTCCTCCAGAAGAGGGCAAGGTTTTTCAGGTACTTGGGATGGAAAAATAAAACTCTTTGTCTTGCTTTAGACTCCTTCAGTGTGTAGTACACCTTAAAAGAGGCCGCAGTGTTGGCCCTGAAGGAAAATGCTGGCAGAAGGACGAATGCATCTCCATAGGTTGCAACGTCCTCCAGAAATATTGCTTTCTTTTCCTTTAAGTTCCCATATCTGCCAAATTTGTAAAACATCATGATTTTAACAGTAATCATCAAAGGAGCAGTTTTGGTAACATGAGGCTGAATTCACCACTGGCCAAAAAATAGAACCATTTATATCACTGTATATAAAACAGACAAACTGCAGACTCAGAAAAAACTCATGTTAAGTAAGCATCTTGTAAATATCAGGGGGTGAGGTCTTCATTTCTCTTTCTTGGCATATCTAGGCTCTCATTCCTACCTTCTTATGGGGCAATACCCTTACTGGACATACATTTTTTATATTATTTTATCTTCCAACTCAGTACTTTTTTCCTAAGGTTGCTTTTTAATGATGAATTACCTTCCAAATGTATAATGCTGAAACGTTTTCTCAAACATAACACACTCTTAAAATATCTGTGCATTAAAAAAATGCACTGAGCTGTACATTTGTACATACATGTTATTATAAAATGTTTCCTTTAGAAAGTCTAAAATATCTATATGCATAAACACACACACACACACACACACACACACACACGCACACATCTTAAATTTCCTCCATGGATTGTGATAGCTCTATGTGTTTAATTTAAATAATACCTCAGTAAATATACTGGTGTGCATGACTGCGTGTGTTTAGAAAATAAGCCTTGGGGAGACAGGTACAATATTTTATATTCTCTTAAGCCATACTAGAACTATTTGAGGGGTGTATTCTACTAATAACAATTATTAGTCACTTCGGATGAAAATAGTTGAATAAAACTCTATATAGGATTTTTATTGAACAGCCAACATTTTGTAGTAGTTACATTGTGGAAAATAAAATACACAAATTATTTTTTAGTAATAAACTGCCCGAAATGAAAACTTGATTTTGCCAGGTTCTCCTAAGGGTTACTCTCTGAAGCTTCTAAATAGACTAAGTTTTTTCAAGAAAGCGCTATCGAGACAAGAGCAACACTAAAATTCTGAAAGGAAATCTAAAAAAGGAACTTCACTATTAAAAAGTTCTCATTGGATTAGCAACATTCAGCTTATGACATTAGAAGTACAACTGGACATACCTCTTATGAGCCACAACCTAAATTACCAATATATTCTTATATATTTTCCTAAAAAGCCATTGCAGCTGTATTAGAAATCAGTCTCAGCAACAAGATTAGTGCTCAGACTAAGAAACAGGTTAAATAATGAGAAAAATGTTCTTGAACAGTTATGTAATTTGAGGTACTTACCTTAGCCTTATGATACTGGGATTTAGAGTCACCAGGTTGGTTTTAGTGCCAACGTCATTGGTAACATTTCCTGTGGTTGGGGGGAGGTTACACCTGAAATTTGGAAGGAAAACTATTCTCAAAATATAACTTGTGAAAAAAAAAAGTACATCCACATACAACCACACATATACATGTGATCATTCTCATTTTATTGGAGAAAATTATTGTCGTTAAGAGGATCCTCAGAATTCATCTGATTTCCATCGAAAAACATTTAATAAGTACTGAACTCTTAGCTGGCATTTCAACATTGGATAAAATAAATGAATTTGATAAATGCTTTCAGTATTATGTAAGACCTTTATAGGTAACAAAACTAGAAATGACAATTACACCTTGCCTAGCTTTTGAAGAGTTCATGATCCTTTTATTAAAATTATTATTTATATTAATTAGATTCCCACAGAGGTATATCACCAATTTACAGATTTTAAAAAATTGAGGCACTGCGACTAAGGTTATAGTGTCTGCCAGAAGCAAAGACTATATAAAAAAAATCAAAATTTCCTGATTCCCATATGGACTGTTTTTCCACCAAATTAAGCTGTTAAAAAATAAAGCCTTAATGTTCTTATAATGATGTTTTCATATTGATGTTCTCCTCTTTTGAGTACTATTTTGTTTTTAAATTGGAAAACAAATTAAGAATTGTAATTTTGAGTAAGTATATTCTTGTCACACAGAAAAGAGAAAGTATCATTTCAGAATTTCAAGTAGACCATTTCTTTAAAGCTATACCTACAAAGGGAGCATCTCTGAGGAAGGCTGTTTAAACTTGATGTGTTCTGTAAGATGAGGTTGAAATATTCTATTCCATGCTCTATGAAATATATGGATAAATGAAACATGTACTTCTCTCACTGATAAAAAAAGATACATCAGAAAACAAATATGGCACCTTGGGAAAAATAAATATTAATTTAGATAAGAGGCCACAGAAATGTCTTCAGTAGTGGGCTTCCTGTAACAAACCTATTTTCTAGAACAGTCTCATATTCTTTTGAAGACTCAAAGATGATTTCCAATATGGTATCACTGGAGACCCCTAGGGGAAATATTGGGTATTGTATATACACAGTACAGTAAAGCCACTCAGCCCCTATTTTTGCTCCTTACACACTTAACTGACAGCTCCCAATCTTCTGAAATGAAAAAAAAAGATAATCAGCTTCCAGATGGTTTTATAAACTATGAAACATGTACAACCAAAATAGACATAGGCTTAAAAATTAAATAAATTTTAATGACACCAACCATGTACAGCCCCAATTTGACCTTTCAGATTGGAAGGCTAACTTCAAAAGGAACTCTATATTCAGAAAAATAGCTGGCATCAACAAATGCAGAATCTAGAAATATACGCATTTATTTTAGAGTTATAAATTAAGTAGCTGTTGAGTTTTTTGTTTTTTGGGTTTTTTTCCCTGCTTGTTAAACCTAAACTTGTATTTCTTATATCTGCTATCAAGTAAAATGGATGTTTAGGCATAATATTCACCCCAGATGTTTTGGGAATTTTCAGTCTATAAAAATGTCTATTACAAGAAGAATTACTCATCTTCCTTATGGTTCTTCCATACTGAGTACTTTAACAAAATGGCTAAATCATGCAGGTATTGGCCATTTTCACATTCACCATGACGAACACATTCAATAATGGTTGGACTGCCAGGTCTGTTGTTCTGTTATTATCTTCAGCATAAAATTCTAAATGAGATTAAAGTGAGGGGGAGCTACTGATTCAGAATCATGTTTCTTTTTCATGGGCAGCATTAAATCAATAAAGCTCAAAGGATCTCCTCTGATGTATGCAATTGGTGCTCCTGAAATAGGAAGAAACGGATTTCAACTGACTTTATAAAAAGGTGTATTTCAATTGAAATCCACCCTCACAGGGATGAATCCTCTTTCCATCATATTCTGAAAGTGGAGATGCGCTGTGGCTTGTGTTATTAGTTCAGACACACAGAGAAACTACTTTTGTTTCTGTTTTGGCAAGCTAGCTTGTATTGAGATATAAACATTTTAAAAGATCAGAATTTAGAAGCTGCACATTGTTAAAAAATTTCAGGCCAGAAACCTAAATAAACATCAATGTTGTGTGGCTATACAATATCTAAGTCAGCATTTTCACAAGTATTACCTGAGAACAAAGTGTTCTTGAAATGCTCTGTTTAAAAAAAAAAAAAAAAAGTATCCTTAATATACTGAAGGCTCTGACAAGTCCTGCAGTGAAGACCCTCTTTGACTATGATCTCATGCAGGGTTTCTGGAAAGTTAAGTGACCATAGCAACATTCAGAGGAACTCATGATCCATTTAACACTTTTGGAAACACACTAGATAAATTGCAGGCTTAAGCAACAGAGTTCAAAGGTCAAAATTTACACAAAGTATCTTTAGCCTATTCATTTAAAATATCCAGCTGATCTTGGATGTCAAAGAAACCAATTCGACAGAGCTTACCTAAAAACAAAGTCGGATTTATCAATTTCGGCTCCGCAGAGAGACTGATTCAGAATCCCCCCATTTCCAACCACCGCACACTGATTGTAAGGGTACCCCACAAAAGGCTGAGTCTATCAGGAGAAAGGGAAAAACTGTCATAAAATAGCTTTAGTTTTAGAACCATAAACATCATCAGCTTAATTCAAGTAGCTTAATCTTTACACATGCTAAGGAAGGAAAAAGAACAAGAAGCAATACCACAGCATGTCAATCAACTTATGACATAATAAAAAAATCCTGTAAACCTGTTTCATTTCTCTTGAGAGAAATATATAGCATATCATAGACAAACATAATGTAATAATACAAAATATAATACACCTGTTCTTAAAATGTACTTTAACGTATTTTACATCACATAATTAAGTAAATAAATTGAGGATGAGAAAATCCCACATGGGCCTTTCGGACTAACAGGACCATTTCCAGCCAAAAATAGAAAAGAAAGCAATTCCAAAGTAACATTCAATTCTCTATTCTTGGCCATAAAATTAATAGATAATTTAGTGAAAGTTCTCTGTGCTTCTTAAGTAGGTAGACCTTCAGGCTCAGTGATGACAGATTTATGCCTGCGACCTCTGTAAATGATCAGCCACGGTGCTTCAGGGAGGCCCAGTAACTCTGTGCTGATTTGTTTCAAATTCATTTCTAAGGTCAGAATCATTTTTGTTTCCTCCAAGGACCCAACTGGCCGATCCCAAAAGACTTCCCACTTTTACCAAATCCTCCGCGGTCTGAAACATAACACTTTTCAATTTGATAGTGTACTTTGCCTTTGCTGGTCACTTTTCCGGAAGTAAGGATGTGACCTTAACCAGCAGCAAGGGTGTCAGCTCAGAGTTCCGCGATGATGAGGTCCTGATTCACCTGCTTTGTCTCCAGAACGTGAGTGTAGGTCCTCAGGGGCAGAGAGCATGTTTATTACTTTTCATTTCCCCTGTCTTCTACTGCAGACCTCGCCTAGAGGACCACTGCTTTTTGATGGGTGACGACTGGCCCAATGGCCACCTGGGTGCAACCCCCAGCACCACGTTGGAACCCAGTTGTACCAGCTTATGGGCACCAACTGGTAAATATTCAGGAATTTTGTGAGCCGACTGTGAAACCACTGGTAAATTACAATCGCCACGATGGGGATATTTACACTGCTACGAATCAGGGAACCCTCCTGCCCAGTGTACCAGCCCCACTGGCAACGCCCCAGGACCAGTGTGGTTCTGAGCTGCCCGACAGATCCTGAATCACCCTGACTCCCGCGTGCTCCTGAATCTGCATTGGGAGATGCCAAACGAGGGACGAGAACTCTCTCTCAGCACGTCTGCGTTTGTCCGTGAAAGTGAAAAATCATGTTGCGCTGCTGGTGCGAGAAGCACTTTCCCGAGACGTGACTTGTTAACACACGGAATCCATCCAACAACCTTGCGAGCATTTCACAGATGGGAAGACGGAGGCATGAGTTTAAGGAAGGGCTAGAAAGCAGCAGAGCTGGGATTCAAACCCAGGCAGTCTGGTTCAGAGTCCATGGTCTTAATCACGACACATTATACAGGTGCTGTCTGTCATTCAAGGGGTGAAAGGTTAACTGAAGGATGTGCCTTATTTCCCTGCACAGAGGTGACCCCAGCAGAGTGTCTGGCTCTTTAATGAATGGTTCCCACAGACCCTGGGCTACTTGGAATCACTGAACTTCTAGCGCAAGATATTTTCAGACCGTGTTTACTAACCGATACCACAGTAAATTCTGAATTTTACAGACAGGGCAGAATGCAAATAGGCTCTTTATGGTACAACAGAAAAGATTACTGAGGGGAACGTATCTCCAATTAAGCACTCAAAATAATGAACGTTTTTCTCTGGTTTCTTGGTCAACTGGGAGGAAAAAGTCCATATGCTTTGCTATCTTACGTTCAGTAAGAGTTCAAATAAATGACAATTTCAACGTTCCTTAAAATAAGGCTCCTAAGAGAACACAAATCTGGGCCACTTAACTGCCTGCTTGTTGCTAACTCTGGTTGAAAACCAGCTTCGTTGTTTTCCTTTCAAGTAACTAAGCAAACCTTTGGAGTAAGTGACTTCACACCATTTCATCCAAAGCATCTATTGTGATCTGTTCGCTGTGTGCCCCACAGAACAAAGCAGGGTTGGGGTGTGGGAAGCAACCTCGGATGCTGTGTCTGTGGAAGGGGATGATGAAGAAACACAGAAAAGTGACCTCGCTTTGCAGCTGTTGCTGTATTAACTTCAGAATTTCCTCCCCCTAGTTTTAAAAAGTCAGTATTAACTTGGAAAATGGATGCTGTTGCTAATTGCATCCAGAATTATCAAGCCTGTGCTAAGTTATTCTTTTCAAGGTGCCAAATCAGAAGCAAAAAAATACCTGCAGTTCCTCTGTTCTGACCAGCCTAAGGCAAGGACAACACTAGCAACAACGGCAAGGGTGAAAGAGTTGCTCTCTGTGGAACTCCCCAAGGTCTTCCCTGATAAGGGACAGAAATAATCTTCAGTTGCTATCTTTTCAGCTATTGGTAATTTCAGTGCATCACGAGGGGATTTTCAGAATGCCGTATGAGTTATTTTTTTGGTCCCCGTTCCCTTTGGGAAAATGTGCAATATTTTTTCTCTAACATTGTGTATTGATTTTTCGCTCATTCCCAGAAAATTATACTTCCTTTGAATTGTAATATTAAAAAAAAATTGGAACAACTTACATGACAATAAAATAGTTGAAACAAGTCAAAGGTCCAGAAAAATGGAAATAATTGTAAGAACTGAATATTCTACAGTTGGTAAACAGCATATATAAAGTGATCCCGTTTTGACCACTGACTTGGCCTAATTGCTTTTCATCAAATCATAAAAAGATGCCTGAGGGCTTCCCTGGAGGCGCAGTGGTTGAGAGTCCGCCTGCCGATGCAGGGGACATGGGTTCGTGCCCCGGTCCGGGAAGATCCCACATGCCACAGAGCGGCTGGGCCCATGAGCCATGGCCACTGAGCCTGCGTGTCCGGAGCCTGTGCTCCGCAACGGGAGAGGCCACAGCAGTGAGAGGCCCGCGTACCACACACACACAAAAAAAAGATGCCTGAGAGTGTAGTTCATCAGCAGTGGGATATTTTCAGGAGAAAAATTCCCCCCAAGTTTGGATTTATAGTGTAATGATACAGTATCATTACTCATTAGTTTAAATAACGAATATGTAATGAATGCATCTGTGCACTGGGGAATGCCCTAGGAGCTTGGGATACATAAGAACACAGTAGATAAAAATCCCTGTCTTGTGGAGGTTATGTTTACGGACCACAAATTCTTATGTATTTACTTCCCAAAGATTAGCCACATAAACCTACAGTTCTTTGTGAAGGAACTGATTTAGTCACTGAAACTGACAACTGGAGGAGTCTTATTGCAGGTGAAAAATGGGCATCTTCCCAAGCCCTGGTAATTACTATGCAGAAAGCCCAAGTACCTCATCTCATTCAAGGATGAGTCATGAAGACTCATGGGCTGGAAGAGCTTATCATTTAAGATATAAATACCATTCCCCGCAGGGCCACAAGTATTCAAAACTGCCTTGGACTGCCATACGTATCTTACACAACACAACAGAGTGTGGCATTTTAATGAATTAACTGCTCCATTCTTATATCTTTTTTTTTTGCGGTACGCGGGCCTCTCACTGTCGTGGCCTCTCCCGTTGCGGAGCACAGGCTCCGGACGCGCAGGCTCAGCGGCCATGGCCCACGAGGACATGCCACTCCGCGGCACGTGGGATCTTCCCGGACGGCACGAACCCGTGTCCCCTGCATCGGCAGGCGGACTCAACCACTGCGCCACCAGGGAAGCCCCCATTCTTATATCTTAATCTGAGCCAACATTCACCTTAAATATTGACACAAACCACAAGAAATTCTCACTCACCACTGGCAACATATCAAAAATGTTCTCTCTGATTTGGATTTCGCTTTTACTTTCCACCTCGTAACTCACGTTAGTCCCGACGGGAGTGTTATTTTGAGAAACAATGAAGTTTTGAACGGCACCACAACACGAAGCAAGTTCCACTCTGCAAAGCATAAGGATAAAAGTGAGTCAAGGAATAAGATTACGAAACCCAAAATAGAGACGACGATGGAAAACGCAGAAGAGGATTTTGCCGTACTGACTTTCAGAGAGAAGATACCTCATTCGCAAAGATGACATTTTTATCTCATTCCATTCTAACTGTCCCTGGATGGTGCAAGAGTGCTGTGGTAGGACTAAACAGCAAAGAACATTAACGTACTTACACTCAGGTAGGGACCGAGTCACCCACAGGAAATACTGATTATATAATGGTTTAAATACAAAGACTTCTTTCTCATGATAATGTTGTAACAACAGAGAAAATGACAGAATACCTTCTAATTATTTTATTAAACAGTACAGAAACTAAATTAAGACCAGTGTCACAAATCATCACCAAAACAATATGTAATCATTTATTATGAGACAAGTTCAATGAAAAGAAGCATCATTCAATACAGTGATTTTCTTTGAGCTTCACTGAGGTATAAATTCACAAATACGTATGGGGAATTCCCTGGCGGTCCAGTGGTTAGGACTCTGCGCTTCCTAACAGGGGGTCTGGGGTTCTATCCCTGGTCGGGGAACTAAGATCCCATAAGCCTCGTGGTGCGGGCAAAAAAAAAAAATTCACAAATACAAGTTGTTTATGTTCATGGTTTAATATGCATACATCCTGTGCAATCATCACCATAACCAAGCTAATCAATATGTCCATCACCTCGCATAGTTATCTTTTTTCTTTTTCTTCTTCTTTTTATAGTAAGAATTGAGATTTACCCTCTTAGCAAATTTCAAGTATGCAATACAGTATTGCTAACGACAACTACACTGCTGTACTTTAAGAGACTGAATTTTTAAATGACGTGAATTTAAAGTTGCCATTCTTTACAGAAAGCCCAGAAAAATGTAATTTAGTACTGAACTATATTTCCAAACTATTCCTATGGAGTGAAACCTTATTGTCAGAATGCAGACCCAGAAAGGTCCTGCCAGGGGTTGTTGGAATTTGCCCCCAACCTCTGGCAGGTGAATTCAGAACCACTCAGAATTTATATTTTGCTTATGTAATTCTCCGGGGGTGTAGACTCCATAGCGTCTCTTGATAATTATTCCACAGTTTAATCAACCTTGAAGTCAAGAGACTCTTTGATTTGCACAACTGAACTCTCTTCACTTAAATCCACCTCCCTGGTTAGTTTTCCATAGAATCTCTCCATAAAAAACACTTCATGTAATTGAAAGTGGTAATCATCAAGCACAACTTGAACCTTTTCAATTTTGAAGCATTTAGAGAATTTCCTCTTCTCTCAGATTTTCTCCATAAGACCAGTTTTTTCATTAATGTCACCTTGTTCATATTTAAACCTTTATTAATTTCTCCATTTCACTTAAAAATATATATTAAAGTTGGATCCCACCATAGCACAAGGAACAGTGACTTTTCAGCAGACAGAGCTGACTGTGGTCAGTACTGATACCCTGAAATCCTAACAGGTCCTTTCCCATCGCATATATTTTTTTATTGGTTTTTGGTCCTGAAGGGTATACTTTTATACATGTTCCTACTGAATTTGGTTCTTCTGAAAGAATACAACGCTCTAGTCTGTCATAGTCATTTTGAATTATATTCCAGTCTTCGTGAATGCCAGAAATTCTCAGGGTATGAAAAGTCAGTGCTGTGATATTATTTGTACTCTAAAAATCAAGATTTTCAAATTAGTTCGTATCAGTTAGCTGATATTATTAAAATAGTACATTCTTACTTGAATTCTATCACCTGCTTATTATTTCTCTTTGTATTTCAGAACCTACCATTTCTAATAGCTCATGGAGACCAGACCAACAAAACAACAAATTGAAATGATGTGTAGTCAAAAATATGATACTAAGTATTTGTAATTATAAATTTAATTTCATAACAATTCATGTGACATATTTCAAACTCAGAAATCCTTACTTATGTGTTTATAATTTTAAATATCTCTTTTACGCAGCATGTTGAGAAAGGCAATGGAGTAGATTCTCATTTACCTTTTACAAGTAACTTAATTTCTCTAAGGATATTTGGTGCTTGAAAGAATATTGCATCACACATAAAAACCACTAAGCAGGGCTTCCCTGATGGTGCAGGGGTTTAGAATCTGGCTGCCAATGCAGGGGACACGGGTTCAAGCCCTGGTCCGGGAAGATGCCACATGCCACAGAGCAACTAAGCCTGTGCACCACAACTACTGAGCCTGCGCTCTACAGCCCGTGAGCCACAGCTACTGAGCCCGCGTGCCACAACCACTGAAGCCCGTGCACCTAGAGCCCGTGCTCCTCAACAAGAGAAGCCACCGCAATGAGAAGCCCACGCACCGCAACGAAGAGCAGCCCCCGCTCGCCGCAACTAGAGAAAGCCCGTGCGAGCAACGAAGACCCAACGCAACCAAAAATAAATAAATAAAAATTTAAAAATGCAATTATTAAAAAAAAAAACCACTAAGCAAAGTACCCTTTGTGGGTTTTTAAACATTTTTTTTTCTGGGAGTTCCCTGGTGGTCTAGTGGGTCGGATTCGGCGCTTTCACTGCTGTGGCCCCGGCTTCAGTCCCTGGGCAGGGAACTGAGATGCTGCAAGCTGTGCAGCGTGGCCAAAATTTTTTTTAAAAATTGTTTTTTTCTGAAATTATTTTCAATTATTATATTATAAAATTTTCAAACCCTCAGGAAAGTTGAAAGAATTGGACAAGAGCATTTGAATAATGACCAGCTAGACGCTACAAGTAATTTTTTACTATATTTGCCTTGTTGTGTATTAATCCATCAATCCATTTTTGTTGTTATAGTTATTGCAATTCAACATAAATGACAGGTATCAGTACACCTCACCCCTAAATACTTCAGCATGTTTATCATTATTTTGTATTTTGGGGTAGAATTTACATACAATAAAACCCCAAGTGCATTCAATGAGTTTTGAGAAGTGCATATACCCCTGTAACCCAATCCCCTGTCAAGATACAGAATATGACCAACCCCACTGGATAATTCCCTCAAATTCTTTCCCAGTCCACCTCCAGCCAACCCCCACCTCAAGGCAACCACTTTTGTGATTATTTTTTACCAAACATTAGTATTGCCTGTTCCAGAATCTATATAAACATATACATAAATCTATATAAATATAAATCTATATAAATCATATTAATGCAACATTGTAAATCAGCTATACTCCAATAAAAATGTTTTTAAAAATTTAATTTTTTTTTAAATAAATTTATTTTATTTATTTATTTGACTGCATTGGGTCTTCGTTTCTGTGCGAGGGCTTTCTCTAGTTGCGGCGAGCGGGGGCCACTCTTTATCGCGGTGCACAGTCCTCTCACTGTCGCGGCCTCTCCTGTTGCGGAGCACAGGCTCCAGATGCGAAGGCTCAGTAGTTGTGGCTCACGGGCCCAGTTGCTCCGCGGCATGTGGGATCTTCCCAGACCAGGGCTCGAACCCGACAGTGTCCCCTGCATTGGCAGACAGATTCTCAACCACTGCGCCACCAGGGAAGCCCCCATTCCCGTTTTAGAGATGAGAAAACTGGAGTTGAGAGAGTGTATGGGTTAGAACCAAGGCGCCCAGGTTGTTCGTGACTCCAGCTTATGTCTTTTGACATTCACTTCTTTGCAGTTTACACTAGAGTATCCTGGGTGGGTAATGCTGTCATTTGAGCTTCTTCCTTTGGGATGCTTTCCATAATGGCACCAAACAACATAGCAGTTCCCAAAATAATGCTGGTAGCACCCCATTGACAGCTTGTCCAGACATATCTCAAAGGCTGCAAAAAATTTTACATGTGAATATTCCAAACCCACTATATAACTGAGACATTCAAGGCTCTTATTTTACATGGAGGGTTACACGATTCCCGATGGATGGGATCAAGGTTGTCAAGTGGTCCAGACAATGTGTCCTAGGATTTAATGGAAAAGAAACCCCTGGTTTACTGATGATCTAATCCTTGCTGTGTCACACCTTCAGCAACTTCCTCTATGCAATCCAGTTCCAAAAGGAAATCTAGTCCCTTCCACCCCACCCAGAAATGAATGGGGACTCTCTGTACTGCATTGATTTCCAGAACCGGAAAGAGTTCACATTCTTTCAAAAGTGCCTAACTCTCAAGAAGTAGGTGGGAATGAAGTGAGAGTGGCATGGACATATATACACTACGGAACGTAAAATACCTGGCTGGTGGGAAGCAGCCGCATAGCACAGGGAGATCGGCTCGGTGCTTTGCGACCACCTAGAGGGGTGGGAGGGAGGTTCAAGAGGGAGGGGATATGGGGACATGTGTCTGCATATGGCTGATTCGTTTTGTTGTACAACAGACACTAACACGGTATTGTGAAGCAATTATACTCCAATAAAGATCTATTAAAAAAAAAAAAAGTAGGTTGGTCCTGGGAGAATCTGGCTTAATACTTTTAGCCCTGATCTATAAATACAGAATCTGAAGATGTCCAAAGCCATCTTTGCATCACAGTTGGTCTAATGAAGTACTTTTGAGAGAGATTTTTGTTCACACTGTAGAAATTCGTTTTTCTTTGCCACCCTAGGTGCTGAGTGCTTCTTCGGTTTTTATCTTTGCTTTTTTGTTTTTGTTTTGTTTCTTTTCTTTCTGATTCATTTCCAGTCCCAGGTCAAAATTCTTCTTCAGTTCTAAGCGGGATGCTTCCTGGATTTCCATGAAATGTTAAGGACGGCTTAACGCTTGCAGTGCACAAGACACTACAGGACACTCTGAATACTAACCACCTAAGTGTCCCAGCCCAGGGCTCACAGGCCTCTCTCCTGTTTATCAAACTCCGGAGACTCCCTAATGAGTCTGGGGCAGTCAGGGTGAGGCAGAGGCTAAAGGCGCTTTCCAAGTATTACTAAAGAGCTGCCTTGTTTCTGACGTCCATTCCCTGAGGTTCTAATGAGGATCCTAGGAAAAGGGGTTTTAAAACCTAAGCACCTGCACAAATTC